GCCACTTAACCTCTTCCGTCCTGGGTGCCCTCATCGGAACAAGAGGGCAGCAACCTTCCACTGTGGAACAGTTGTGAGGAGGAATGTAGTATGCACTTGGCACATAATAATTGTTCAGTGAGCAGCCAGATGTATAACATAAACCAGCCATCCTCGCTGGGCCCCTCAACTCACCTCCCACTCATTCACCTCTCAGTCCACAGCAAGGTGGCTTTTGCTGGGAAACAAAAAGGTTTTGGCTGGGCCCCTGCCCAGAACACCAGGACCCGTGTGCTGCCTGAACCACGTGCGCTCTCAGGCCTCAAGCTTCTCACCCTCCACAGCACTGACCCCATGGCCACCCTGTCCTCTGGCTCCAGTTGCATAAATGCATACATTTATTGGCTTAGTTTCCCCTAGGACCCCTGGGCTGCGAGCCTACACACACCAGTGAGCCTCTGAGCAGCTCCACCTGGGCATCTGCTGGGCACCTCCAGCTGGACACCTCCCAACCCACACTCGCCTTCTTCCTTCTCCTCTGTGTCACACCACCACTCCCTACCTCTCCTCCAGCACGTCTTCGCTGCTGGCCCCAAAACACATAAGCCCACTGGCTTAGCTTCTTATCGCTCTGTGACACACCTCCACAAACACATTCCTGAACTCTCAGTTCTAGAGATCCCAAGTCCTACAATCAAGATATGAGCTGGACTGCGTGCTTTCTGGAGGTTCCAAGAAAGAATGTGTTTCCTTGACCTTCCTGGTTTTTACAGGCTGCCTGCCCTCTTGGGCTCCTGGCTCCTTCCAGTATTTCCAAGGTCAGCAGGAGAGCATCTTCCCATCTCTGGTCTCTGACCCTGACTCTCCTGCTTCCCCTTATAAACACGCATGCCATTACATTGGGCCACCAGGTAATCCAAGACCTTTTCTCCATCTAAAAATCCTTAATATAATCACATCTGTAAAGTTCCTTTTGCTCTATAAGAGAACACAGTCACAGATTCATGGGCATCCTTGGGGGGGCATTATTTGGCCAACTATCCTTATCCCCCTCCATCTGCTCCAAACCTCTAGGATATTTCTCCCATGACAGAAAAAAAAAAAAAATGCTGACCTACCTCCTTCCCATATCCAGTGTCTCCATCTGAACATTCTCAGGCAATACAAAAGCTGATCCATCATGCCTTATCTCTACTCTAAGATTCCTTCACTGGGTTCCTTAAGAGCATTCAAGTCTGTCCTTAACAAACTCATTCGACCCCATGTCTCCCTCCAGCCATCACCCTGCCTATGTCCTGTCTCTCTCCTTGCTTCTTATCTCTAAACAGAGGCCTGGTGCATGGAATTTGTGCATAAGGTGGTGTCCCTCAGCCCAGCCTGTACCCTCTACAATCTGGGACCCCTAGAGAGATGTCCGGCTGCCCTTTCAGGCCCGATCCCACCAGGCCTAAACGGGCAATCGGACATCGCTCTCACAATCTAGGAATGCTGGCTCCCAACCTCTCACCTGCCTTCCTGCCTGATTGCACCTTACCACTTCTACCTGCCAGCCTGATCACCCCCTAACCACTCCCCTTGCCAGCCTGATCAATGTCTAACTGCTCCCCTGCCGGCCCGATTGCCCCTAACTGCCCTCTCCTGCTGGCCTGGTCACCCCTACCTGCCCTCCCCTGCTGGCCCAGTCTACCCCTAACTGCCCTCCTCTGCTGGCCTGATCGCCCCCAACTATCCTCCCTTGTAGGCCTGGTCCCGCCCAACTGACCTCCCCTGCCAGCCATCTTGTGTCCACATGGAGGCAGCCATCTTATATGTTGGAGTGATGATCAATTTACATATTACCTCTTTATTATATAGGATCAATCATCTGAGAAGTGACTCTACTGCTCACCTCCATCCTAATAAGGTTTCCATCTCATCACTCTTCTGCAGGGGTTTTCCTGTGCAGTACTATTGGCATTGGAGGCCAGATCATTTTTTGTTGCAGGAGTGCACTGTGAAACACTGAGCAGCATCCTGGCCTCTACCTTCTAGATGCCCATGGTGTACCCCTATCCTGAGTTGTAATGGCCAAAAATGTCTCCAGACTTTGCCAAATGTCCCATGGGTGGAGGAGAGCAGAGCAAATGACTCCAGATTGAGGACCATTGTCTTATAATAACAGCTCTTGCTAACGTCACCAATGACTTCCCTGACACGAAATCCCATGGACACTATTAAGTCCTTCGTTCGCTTGGCTTCTCAGAAGAATTTGACATCATTAGCCATTCTGGGCTCCTACCCGCAGGCTGTTCTTTCTCTGTCTCCCTTCCAGCATCAAGCAACCCTTCTGAATCACTAACTGTTGACATTTCTCAAAGCTAAGTCATAAGCCCTCTCCATCTCTCACTCAGCCTGTTCTCCCTGGAGATGCCCTCCATACCCTGACCTCTCTAACCATTTCTGCCCAGGTGACTTCAGAAGTGACACTTCTATACTTCCTTTCCAAGCTCTAAACCCCCATATCAAAATGCCTACATGGCATCATCACTAGGATATCTTGATGTCACTCTAACTCAACAAGTCCAAAACCAAGATCTTTCCCTCATCCCAGTCCCCCTCTGGCAATTCCCATTACTCAGAGAAAGGCGCCATCCCTGGAGAGGAGCCTGCGGGAGTTTGTCTAGACGCTTCCCTCTTCCTTACTTAGGCAATTAATTTATTTCCAAGTCAAGTCTCTCTCATCTTTAAAACAGTTCACAAACCACTTCATGTGTCTCCATGTCTCTGCTCTGACCCGAGCCCAAGCCTCTGATATTGTCGACCTCAAGAATAACCACGCACTCTAAACAGGGTGTGGGCATCCATTCTTGACCAATGCCCTCACCATCCCCATCAGTTCTCCATGCTGTGGCCAAAGTCACCTTTCAGAACAACAACAACAAAAAAAGCAAAACAAAACAAAACAAAACAAACTTTCTTGATTGTCCTTAAACTAAAGAACAAAAGTCCCAATTTGTACCGCTGGGCTCTACAATGGCCAAGTCTTCATCACCTCCTCCAGGCCCCTGTGTTGGCTGCACTCCAGGCACACTGGCCTTTTTCCTGTTGCTCAAAAATGCTGTGCTCTCTCTGGCCTCAGGGCTTTGCTGTTTCTGGATGCCCGCATCAATCTTCACCTGGTTGGTATTCTCTTCCTTCCATCCCAGCTATTAGGAAGACTTCCCTGACCTCTGGCCACATACATTTTCTTGGTTGTTTGCTTTTCTCTTAGCCACTTGCTCCATTACCTCCCAGAGTCGTAATTTTCTATTTATATTATTCTTTTACCCATTCCCTCTTCGCTATGGTAAACTCTATGAGGGCAGGACCAATGTCTGATCAGGCCCGCCATTGTACCCCAGGGCCAGCCCATCACCCGTCACAAAGGAGATCATCAACAAGAGTTTATTTAATGCATAATGACTAATCTTTCTACCCCTTAGCCTGCCTTTCTCTACTGCCCCATATCCCCCATCTCTGTTCAAGCTTGACTCCTAAGAGTTGTCTTGGATAATTCTTCCTCTTTATATCTTTGAAAACCCTTCTTCCTTACCTCCAGATCCCATCTATCACTAAATCTTGGAGATTCTCTCTCCTAAGTCTCTCTCAAATATGCCCATTTCTAGCACCTGCATTTAAACCACCATCTTTCCTTACCCCCATCCCAGCTTCCCACTTAGAATCCCAATTCTGGGAGTCATGCCTCTGCTTGAAATGCTTCAATGGCTTCCCCTGGCCCACAGGAAGGACAATACACCGGCCCTGGCTTATGAGAGGTGGTCCCTGTCTCCCTCTCTTTCTTATTTATTTTTTAATCCTCACCCAAGGAGTAAGGATATTTTTTCATTAATTTTTAGTGAGAGTAGAAGGGTGGGGGTGGGGGAGAGAGAGACACATGGCTGCGAGAAAAACACATCAACGGTTGCCTCCCATACCACACATACCCGACAGGCCTGGGGGCGGGGACTGGACCTTCAACCAAGGTACGTGTCCTTGACCAGGAATTAAACCTGTGACCCTCCAGGGCATAGGCCCATACTCTACACATGAGCTACTCTGGCGTTGGCTCCCTTTCCTCGCCATGCTGCCTCCCAGGCTCCTCGCTGTTGCCACACAGGACTTCATGGAATGACTCTCTCAGCTGTTCTGTCTCCGGGAAGCATTTTTCCATCCCCTTCTATTACTGCTCTTCACTCTTCCAATCTCAGGCTAAAGAAAGTCTTGCCCAAACCCCGTGTAAAGGCGAGCAATAATAATAACAGCTGATATTCTCTGAGTACTTACTAAGGGCAAGTATAACTCTAAAAACTTTAGTTTTGACTCATTTAATCTTCACCATCAACTATGATTATCCTGTTACAAACAGGCACAAAGAGTTAAATGACTGGTCCAACATCGAGTAGATAATAAATAGCGACGCTAGGTGACATAATGAACTTGGGCTCCAGGGCCCAAATCCCCAAACACTGTGGACACTGCCGTTTCCCGCTGCCCCCTTCAGTAGCAACGATCGCATATGCAAGTACTTGTTCAATGCCTGCTCTCCCTGCTCCCTGGAGGCAGGGATCCTCTCTGCCTTCTAGAAGGCTTTACCTCCAGCAACCAGCCCAACACCTAGCATTACTGCTTTTTTTTTTAGCTGAATGTCATGCTTTGCATCCCCACAGTCCCCAGCTCCAAGTCCCCAGCTCCAGAGGAGGGCGTGCACAAACCTTTCGTAAATGCCACCGAATGGCCCACCAGACACCCACGAGGAGGATTCACAGGGAAATCGCTCCACCACGCATTCTGCTGACTATGGCCAGCTGAGCTCCTCGGCATGGACCTCAGCCACCAAGGGTGGCAGACACTTAAGCTAGCACAAGGGGACAGCAAGACCACCACTCTGGGAATGATGGCAAAACGCTCTGGAGCCAGGCCAGGCCAGCAGACGGCTCCCCCTGCTGGTTCCCTTTCATGTTCCTTGGCACCCTCTCCCATGGCACTGCCCAAGGGACACTCACCAGCCAAGAGAAGAAGCCAGCCGATTTGTCTTGGGTGGAGATCTGTCCCTCGTAAGGGCCGAAGATGTGGCCTTTGGGGATAACCTCATTTATGCACCGCACATCATTCTCCCCATTGGGGACCTTGACCACCTCCATGCCCTGTGGGATAGTGAGCGCGGCCCGGTCTGGGAGGCCCACAGGCACCGGTGTGTCGGACACAAACACCGGGGGGCCATGCTTCGGGCATTCATCCACAAAGTACTCCTGACAGGACTCGCAGACTGGAGGAAGAGAAAGAGGAGGAATTCGGTTGTTGGGGAGGTAGGACCCCATGCAGGAGGCTGAAGGGCTGATGGGAAGCCCACTCCGAGACCAGCAAGGGCAATGGAAAGCACTGCCTGGCACTCCCGAGTCCAGCCCTGGCCCCACCCCAGCCAGCGACGGGCCCCGAGTCTTCAGTAGCAATAACCCAGTCTCTTCCCTGGGGGCCCAAGGACATGCCTGCCAACAAGGAAGCCAGTAACTGCCTTTGTTTCAAGCTTGAAAAAGTGGAAGAAAGAGCATGCTCTGGAATCAGATCGCTCTGGGTTTGAATGCGACTGTGCATCTGTGGGCTGTGGGACCTGGAAAATGCCTCAGTCTCCTGACCTGAAAAATGGGACCAATGACAACCATCTCAAAGGCTAATGGGGCGGATTAACTGAGGCATGAACCTGCGTCTGGTGCATAAGAGATGAGGGCCTATCATTTGGATTGTAGCCCTGCTAATTCCCTGAGCGAGACGGGGTCAAGGGTTCGGGGTGAAGGGAGGAGAAGCCCAGGAAATAGCCCCAAGCTCCACTTACACCAGAAGTCCACTTGCTGGAAACTTTTGGGCACGATGAGGTCACGCTTCCCCTTCATTCTCTTGGGCTCCACTTCCATGGCCGAGGTGTCTGGTCTCCTAGAACTGTCCGGGACACAGGCCATTAAAGAAAGCAAAGAAGCCATCGGAGAGGGAGAGGAAGACGGTCAGAGAAGCCGAGGGACCTGGTCCAGAGGCCACAGGGACTGGGCAGGAGGAGGAGCCTGCCTTTGCAGGGGTCAGTACAAAGGTGGAGAGGGAGGTGTCCTGAGACCTGGGCCCAGGCCTTCTTGGCCACTGATTGGTTTTCTCTAAAGCCTGTGCTCACCTCGGGTCCTAAGAGCTGCGTGGAGCAGCGTAAGGAACGTGGGCAGGGAATGGGAACTCTCCGTAGGGTCTCCCACCAACCCGATCCACCCAGCCAGGGATCCTCCCCTTCTCCCTCTCCTGTCCCCACCAGGAGCCTCACCAGGGCTGGCCATACTCCTGGTCACGGAGAGGTGAGCAGACTTCTGTCTTCACCACAGTCACCATGTCCCCCACAGCTGCCTTGGTCTGCGCCAAACACTCCTTCATGTTCTCAGTCATTCTGTTCTGGGGATGGGAAGGCGGGGCCAGTGCAGGAAAGGGATCAAAGAGACAGGGGAAGAGGGGTGAGCGGTGGAGAGGGCAATCGGGGGTCCCGGGGAATCTGGTTACCCTCCCTGCCATCCCCAGAGGAAGCTCTTGAGAACACAGACAACAAAAACAGCTGTAGCCTGGCCAAGAGGAAATGCCATTTCTATCCCGGGCTGGTCCTGGGGACGACTGGAGCCACCAGCCCCATGGGGTCAGGGGCCAGGGGCAGCTCAGGCCAGGAAACCGGGCTGGATAGCACAGCCTGGACCCCAAAAATCAAAGGGAAAAGGGTCTGAGGACACCGCAGGAGCCTCTGAACAAAACTGCAGCTGGGAGCTGAGGAGGGATCAAATCAAGTCCAGCGGGGGCCAGGTTGATGAAATGGGCCCCCGTTGCCTCCAGACAAGCCCCTAGCCCTGGGGCTGGCAGAGAATGCAGCCAGGCCCGCTTTGCCAGCTCGGAGCAGGTACAGGTGGGGTGTGGGGGTCCCCGTGTGGGCTGGCCCTGACTCCAAAGCTCCACCCTGCGATCTCCAGGGGAGTCTCCCCAGTTGCTGCTTACCGCCCTCTTCCACCACAGCGCCGGGCTGCAGCCCCTCCTCCCTCAGCACCCCGGGATCCTCATGCCAAGCCAGGGTGACTCTCCGGGTCAGCGCAGCAGCGCGCAGCTCGGGCTGGGACCGCGCTGGCCCCGGGACTGGGCGAGCACCGTGTGTGACTCACTACTCAGGGCCCCGCTGGCCACACCCCTGCTCCTCGGCTAATCAGCCCCCTGCTCCCCACCGGGGGCCCCAAAGCCAGCGGCGGCGGAGAGGGGTGTGGGGAAACGGGACGGCCTGCCCCCTCCTCGGAGGAGGCGGTGAGGGCTGGGGGCGCGCGGAGGGGGGCGGGGGCAGCCCCAGCGGGGCCGACCTGCCCCGCCGCTGCCCCCGGAGCTCGCGGGTCGCCCCGGCCGCGTGTCGGCAGCGGGGAAAGTGTGATGATGGGTCGCGGTCCGGCAGGGGGGCCGCGCACGGACCGGCCCGGGGGCGGCGCGGGGGGCCGGGGAGGGAGGGAGGGCGCGGGCTGGCTTCTGCACTCTCACCAACCTTCCCGGTGGGGCGCTCCCTGCCTCCCCGGCCCGGCCCAGCCCAACGCCCGCCCCCCGACCGCCAGGCCCGGCATTCCTTGCGGGGGCATGTGGCTTCTTGCCGGCCCCGGGGGCACGCAGTTGGCTGGCGGCCGGGAGGGGGGCGCGCGGGGAGCGGGAGGAAGCGAGCGCCCGGGAGGGGCGCGGTGGGGGGGCGCTGCTGGGAGGAATTCCAGCCCCTCCCGAGGGCTCGGCCCCCACGCGGGCCCCGGGGAGGGGGGGATTGGGGGGCGCGGCGGGCGGGCGCCTGGTGCGGGTGATAGCGCGGGGAGGCTGGGCCCTGTGGCCTGCGGGTGGAGGAGCAGGTCTGCAGGCCTCCGCCGCTGACCCACAGGGACTGCAGAGCCGCCTCCAGCGCCCCCGCAGCGGCCACGGCCACCCAAGGGTGGCGCCCCGCACACAAGCCCCCTTCCCCACCTGTGCGGCCCAGGGTGCCCCTCACACACCCCCCCCCCCCCCCCCCCCCCGCGCGTCTGCAAGCTCACCTGCCTCCCTCCCGCCAGTGGCTCCATGCTCGCTAGGTGCTAGGCCGGCCTCATTGCCCATGGGTGAACCCCAGCCACCCCTAAGAGGCAGGAACCTAGGGCAGGAAGGTGTCAAGAGGCTTGCCCATGGGCAAGCAGTCCACTGTGGGTGCAGTCTGGACTGGAGCCTGGGGGCCCCCTCGGAGTATATTGGAAACAGAACCCCCAAACTCAAGCGTGAGGTTTCAGGCCGGGTTTTCCTCCATGCCATACCCTCCACCTGGATCTCCTGGGGTGCGTTCAGGCCTCAGCCCACATGTCCAGCTGCCAGGCGGGAACCAGACCCAATTGGGAAGGGGTCATGAACACCCTGGGCAGGGGAGCGCTCTCTCTTTGATGGCAACGTTCACAGCACAAGCCACCTGAGGCCATTCCTCTGGTAGTGAGAAGCCTGGGTTCAAATCCCACTGGTTAGCTGTGTGCCCCTGGGCAGGTGCTATAGACTGGATGTCCCCTCTCCCAATGTACATGTTGACGCAGGAAGGCCCAATCTGCCTGGAAGGGATTCTGGTTAAATGACGTCATAAGCGAGGGGCCCTACTCCAATAGGGCTGGTGCCCTAATAAAATGAGGAGACCCCAGAGCTAGCTCTCTCCAGCAGGTGAGGACAGTGGACAGGTAGCCATCTGCAAACCAGGAGGAAGAAAGTTCACCCAATTAGTCAGCACCTTTCTTTTGGACTTCCCGGCCTGCAGAACTGTGAGAAAGAAATGTCTCATTTAAGCCACCCAGCCTATGGCGTTTTGTTATGGCAGCTGAGCTAAGACAGCAGGTTATCTAACCTCTGCGCGGATTTCCTCATCTGGAAAATGTGGCAAGTATTAGATTCAGTCACAGACATTTCCGTATCAGACCGAGGTGGGTTTGAAAGGAGCTGTGCAATTCCACGGAAGAAAGCTGAGCAGGAAGGTGGGCAAGAGGGACATCCTAAAGGGGAGGGGGGGAGGACTCTAAATTCTCTGCCCTGGGTTAGATTTGCTCTTTTTTTTAAGCCGACCACTTGCACACGCTGGCACTGTATTAGAAACAGACTGCTCAGGACCACTTGCATTGGGCTCCCCTGCTTAGGCCCTGCTGCCCCCCACCAGCCCCACCTGTGTGCCATGCTCCACCCAGCCATGGAGCCTGTGGACTTGCTGTGACCTCCACCTGCACGCGCCTGGAAACTCCGACCCCATCCTTCAGCTCTCACTGCCCTGCCTTCCCATTCCCTCCCCATCACACACACCCAATACCCTCTCCAGCCTCATCTGCCTTTCCTCATGGCACTTGTCACACTTAGAATGGTCTTTCATTAGCCTGATTGATTAGTATCTGTTTCTCATAAGAGATTATAAGCTCCCCAAGGGCACGGTGCAGGGCAGAACTAGCCAGATATAACCCAAGTGCTAGGGCATAAACTTGAAGGAAGCACCCCCTCTCAAGGTCATGTTTTGAATTTTCTCTGCCAGGCCATGTGGGTGATGCTGGCATCCAGAGGCAGTGAGGTGCAATGGAGAGTGGGATGGAATGAGACTCAGGAGACCGAGAGCCTGATTTTGATAAGCATAATCTCTGTGGCCGAGGGCACATACCTTATGCTCTCTAGGCTTTGGTGTCTTCCTGGTATAAAGGAAATGACCATAATTGCCAGGTTATCCCCACGAGGAATAAACAAGATAAAGGCAGGGTCAAGGCCAAGTGCTCTGGGTTTGTATGGAATGTTAGCATTAATCCAGCTGCCCAGAGGCAAGGGGATGGGGAGAGAGGACACAAGGTTTGGAGTAGAAGAGAGACTATAAAGGAAGGAAGGGAAGAGACAGATAAGTAGGTGATAGTGAGAGAATAAAAGATGGAGGAGAAGAAGGAGGAAAGAGGAAAGTGGAGAGAAACAAGTAGGTGGGAAGAGAAAGGAAGACAGAGAAGACACAAGGCACACAGACATTTTTTCTAAGTCTTGCATGGTCCCGGGAAAACCATTCCCTTCTGAGGAAAGCATTCATTTGTATCTCCAAGTAGGGAGGTCTACAGGCCACTTCCTTTCATGTCTTATTTCTCCTTTACAGCCCACCATCACATAAAAGAATTGTGATGATTTAAAACACTAACACATATTAGAGTGATGCCAATTATACCAAGAATCTGTTTTGAGATAGTGACCTAGCTTGTCAGTCAGCTCTGAGCCTCCTAGTAGCCAAAGCAAAAAGGGAAAACATGATGGGTTGCTTAGTACTCATTTGACACCCACTTACTGACTGAACAATTAAGTTCTCTCCATTCTTAGAGGACTCCAGTTGCCTAGAGAACCAGGATCAAGCCTCATTTGCATGACTGATGTGCATTATAACTCCTTTCTGTGTCTGTCAGGAAGGCCATAGGGACTGGGGAGGCGGGGAGGGGAGGGGGGAAATGGGATGTGGGAGGATCAAATGAACTTCCATTTAGGAAGAGAGAGAATATGGACTTCACTGAGTCTATCTCGCAGGCACTGTAAGGCCTGAGCAGGTGAAGCTCCAGAAATCATTTCTGCAGGCTGCTCTGACCCTGCTTGACCAAGTGAGGAACTTGGGGGAGGGGTGGTGGGTGGGCCTCATGGAGGACTCCAAGCTGCTGGCAATGCTCCCTCTCAACTGGCTCCTCTGAGTCTGGACATGCAGAGATTAGGCATGTTGCAAACCCAGCAATGAGATGCAAACCAAGAGGAGGGGGCCGAATGTGGCTCAGGAGCCTGCAGCTCTGTTTTCACCTTGGCAGCATGCCAGGGTCCTGGAATGCCCAGCAGCCAGTGTGGCCAGAGGACTGGGAGTCTGTGCCCACTTGGTTTCCCTAGAGGCTGGCAATATGAGACTCTGGCAGGTCTGTTCTGGTACCACGGCAGCATCCTCTGTTTGTGCCCTCTGATAACAAAGGAATAGATTAGGGTCTGGCCAAGTCACACATGGACCTGGGCTGGGTGTCCTGAGGTGTCAGTTCTGGCTGTTCCATAAACTCTTTAAGTGGCCCAGAGCAAGGTCTTGCCTTGCCCTGAGCCTCAGTTCCCCTTCCTGAAAGATATAAGGTTCAACGTGGTTCTTGACAGTAAATCATGGGAGTAATACGGGGAGAGCATGTGATTGTTACAAGGAGTTGTTGAATAGAGAGGAAAAAAAAACTATGACTTAAACATATATAAGATAGATTTGCAAGTATATGTAGATACTTTTGTGATGAAGAAAGATTAAATTATTAAAAAGTATTACTGAACCAAGCTTGTGTAGCTCAGTTTGAGCATCAACCTATGAACCAGGAGGTGATGGTTTGATTCCCGATTAGGGCACATGCCCTGTTTCGAGCTCAATCCCCAGTGTGGGACGTGCAGGAGGCAGCCAATCAATGATTCTCACTAATCATTGATGTTTCTATCTCTCCCTCTCCCTTCCTCTCTAATATCTAAATAATATTTTTAAAAATATGTTTTTTAAGTGTTATGGAATTCATAGAAGCTCTAGGTCACCATGTGTTTTGTTACTCAACCAACACCAGGATGGCCACTCACAAGCTATGTAACCTTGAGAAAATTAATTAAGCACTCCTGCACAGTGACTTGGTTTCCCCATCTGTCCAATGGGACCGTTATAAGAACCTATCTCGTAGGGCTGTTTTATGTAGCATAATGCCTGTCATATATTAAGATAATATACTAGTACTAGAAGACTTATAAAAGTTCTTATTATCAATCATTTTATTCATTACTAGAGGCCTGGTGCATGACATTCATGCATTGGCAGAGGAGGCGGGGGTCCCTCAGCCTGGCCTGTGCCCTCACAGTCCAGGACTCCTTGGGGGATGTCCACCTGCCACAGAGGCTGGAGAGGCTC